CAAGAGAACAAAAAATCCTGCTATTTTCCTTTCCTTCCCCACTTGCTGTCCAACCTCGTAGGCAGAAGCCACTTTCTGTAACTACTCGGTGGATATACTCTACCTTTTAAAACCCCTGGTACTGAGCAGTTTACTTTGCTAAGAAGAATGAGAGGCTTAAGAAATGGGTGAAGGGCATTGCCAAAGGACAGGGGAGAAGCCTGAAAGAGTTCCCAACAACCACAACTGGAGCAGCAACACGAGTTACATGGTATTAGTCACAACCCAAAACATGAATCCAAATTGATYTAAATGACTGTGATCAATAAATGAAAGAAAAAGAACTATTGACTTCATAATTCCAATGAGAAAATGTGGAAGGAATTCTGCAGGCAGAATTCACCAATGAAAGGCAAACTCAGTGCATGAAGCATGACCTTTGCAGAGCCCTGGAACTACACCTCTGAAAGTTCACTGATGCCTGGGCAGTGTTCACCYGCAACTGGACCACCTTCCACACCCGCCCCTTCTCCCCTCCCCGGGAGACAGGGATGACTTGGATTCCAGAGCAGAAACGAAGCCCACCTTAACCAGGAGGTCACCAGTAGTAAGTATCATCCACATCACAAGCCCCGATATCACCCCATACTAGAGAAASATATGTCACCTCTGTGGTGCACTTCCCTGAACTCCAGAAAGCTCAGTCTCTTCCTGAGAAAATTACAGTCAAGCTCAAATTCTGGTACATTCTATGAAATTCCTGATCACCCCTTATTAAAGGGTCAAGGCTGGGGCTGGGGTGTAGCTCAGTGGTAGACGGCTTACCTAGCAGGCATGAGCGCCTGGGCTCCAGCCCAGCACAGAATAGAATAGAATAGAATAGAATAGAATAGAATAGAATAGAATAGAATAGAACAGAATAGAATAGTATAGTCTAGACCAGGTCATGAAAGATAAGGAGACACTGCAGACCTGTCACAGATGGAGAAGAGGAAGCAGATATGACCCTCCCTAGCCCCACACACTGCAGGTAAGTGCAGCCTGGTCTTCTGGACCGAACCCTAGAACAGTTTAAAGTGCATTCGTGGGAGAAGTGGGGAATCTGAATAAAGTCCACAGTGAACTTTGTCACTTGCACCAGTCTTCAATTCATAGTTTTGACAAATGTTCTGTGGCTCTGCCAGGTATGAACATTGGAGGAATCTGGGTGATAGATAGGTGGGCACACTCCRTGCTGTCTTTATAACTTTCCTTAAATGTGAAATTATTTCAAAATAAAAAGTATATTTAAAAAAATGCTCTAAGAAGCACATGCATCTTCCTGACATCACGGACAGCTGTGAGTTATGGGCTGTTCTCTAGCTGAGGAATGTTTTCAATGCACACAGAGATACCGTGTCCCAAAGCCACTGGCCCTGTGCAGTCTGGCCCTACCTGTCGTGAAAAAGAGGCCTGGACTGGGAGTTAGGAGACTTCTACRTCCATCTGGCCGAGTTTCGTGAATGTCCATCTTCCTCATGTGTCAAATGGAACCATTCTTTCACAATACAATGCAGTTGTTTAATCAGCTTTTAATTGAAAAAGCTGCTCTGGGGAATGTTTAGCACCCAACAGAATACATGCTTAATCAAATCTTGAGTGTGTGTGTTTATATATATTTATACATTGATCATCCACATATCAAAGGCCACAAACTCAGAAGCTTGAGGGTTCTATGGCAAATTCTAGAATGTGTGGCTCTCTCCAAAGGAGACATGGCCACTCAGCGGGGTTTGGTCCCAGTGTTACCTGATATTCGAGTTTTTCAAAAGAAGATAAAAATCCTGATTTTATTTTCCCAAAAAGTGTAATCTCCTTATTTTAAAATGTTGCTAATGAATTCAAGATATTTCAGAGCATTGTGCTGAACATCAGTCAGAACCCTGGCCTGACGGGGCTTTGTGTGTTCAAGACAAAGATGCCTCTGGGTTTGTCATGGAAGCAGAGAGCTCCTGCCCAGGGCTGAGCTGGACCAGGAGCCAGGGCTGGCTCTCTGTGGCTTCCACCCTAGTCTTATCCCTCAACTAGACTCTCCACTGCCCTGGGGCGAGGACCTGGCTTAACCCACAGCCTTTCCTCAGTCTGTCTGTTGAGCCAGGAATTTGTCATTCCCCATGCTGACACCCCTCACCCGCTCAGTTAAACTTCTCCAAAGAATCATTTCACCACAACATTTTATATCCTTTGATACTTCTTAAAAGGGAAGTAGGCCAATAATTCTAAGTTTGGCTGAAATATTGCTTCTCCTCTCCCTGGCTTCAGTCTGCCAGCCCCATGGTTGTGGCTGTTCCTAATCAAGGCCATCTTTTTAAAAAATCTGAATAGAAAATGGACTTTTATCTCTAAAAGAGTGGGTGCAGGCCAGGTTATGACCCCACCTCACTGGATTCCAGAAGCTTTAGTTTTAGTAAGAGAGGACCTGGAACACAGTCTCAGTCGCACTTCTGAGAGTGGCATGCAGGCAGAGGCCCCCAGTCCCACCCGCAGTTGGATTAGCTGAAGGACACACAGCGAGACCCTCAGACACCCTAGAGGCTGCAGAGGCAGATCCAGGAGGAGGCTGCAGGGGGCGGAGCAAACGCGAGCTGCCCAGAGCAGCGCCCCGCCCTTGGGCGAGGTGATTGACAAGGGTCAAGAGCTGGAGACTAGAGCTGGAGACAGACAAGCAGCTTTTGTGTTTTAGGGTAGACCCCTCCTTTTTTTTTCTTTGTGTCGTGATGGTCCACGGACCTGAGGATGCTACGAATATCATTGCATGCCATAATTTATTCCATCTTTCTTGTAAAAATAAAATCTCCAGAATTAAAAAAAATCTCCAGAATAATTTGGTTAAAGGATTAGAAAGTTTTATAATATTAGCAAAGATGCTCCTTCAAGATTGTATTTTAAAAGAGGTAAATATGCCCATAGTAAAATCTTAAAAAAAACACTGAAGTATATAAAACGAAAAATTTTAAAGAAATGTTCTCTTTACATTGCTGCMAGCAGGACTTCCCAATAATATCCCCTGGGAATGACGTCTTGTTARTATGTCCATTTTAATGAAAGCATATGAGTGCATACCTATGTGTATATATGAATTCTATGTTTTGGAAGCAGGGCTGAACTATGTGTTCTGTTCTGAATTTTGCTTTGTTCTTAGGAGCACACGTTGTTTTTCGTGGCTGCGTTATCATCTACTTACAGATATGCCCTACTTTATTTAATCRTTCCCATAACGATGGGCAWCTAACTCCTGTTGTGGTCTATTAGACACCTTCAGAAGGAATCATGTTTTGTTCACATGCTCAAGTCTGAAGCATTACCTTCTGGATGGATAATTGCAGGGCAGAGTCATGAACTGTTTTCTTCACAGTTCTGCATGGCCCTCTGCAGGCATGCACGTGCAGTTATGTGAGTGCTAAAGTCGATCCTGGACTTGGGGGGACCCCTTTTACAGAGGCACTTTCAGTTTCTTCCAAGGCCGAAAAGACCAGTGCATGGATCTTCCTCTTAGTGGAAAGATACAGCACAGAGGAAGGTCATATGCTAAGGAGGGTGAACCTGAACCTGTCACTCAAGACAGACCCTGGACAGCTGCTGCTGCTTGAAGCGTATTTGTCAAATTAATAAATAAATGAATCACATCACRACGGTGCTTATAGAGAGGCCATCAAGATGTGTCTCAATGCAATGATGCTTCAACCATGAAAACCCTTCATCACTTGAACAAATAAATTTCACCTTTAACCAGTTCAATTGCATTCTTATGCTAGCAGGAAAGACATGCAGTTTGAGGTATGTAAAAAGAAATGTTCAAAGTTCTGACAGCAGATAGGTATTCCACCTGGCTAAACTATAATTTCTATTTCTCCTATTTTCTTTGAGTGGTATTTGGTGGATAGTTACCATATTATTAATAATGTACAGTTTTTTCTTAAGTACAAGTTTAAATGCTTTTTATTTTATTCAGTTTGCTTGGAATTTTTCTTTTTTTGTAGATTTTGGAAGCTACTTTGCTTTAGTCTCCTTGTGAATTGAGGCTCATCCGGGTCCCTCTGGCTCTGACAGTCAGGAAATCACTAAATTCTAGGGAAGCATCGGTACCTTCTAAATTACAGGGGCTTTGAGTTTCACTTTCTTCCCATCCAGATGAGGATGTCTGGTTGCCTTGTATATTTGTGAAAGGTAAATATCAATAATTAGATATGCCTTTAGCCATCAGGACTGCAGGGGATAAAAGAGTCAATTTCTTTGCATCCCCTACAGCGAAAGTATTTTTTTCTAGATTCTATCTCTTGGGATAATTAGTCCTATTTGCAGTAGATCATTACCAATTTGGAAAAGTCTTTATTCCAATGGCGATTTACTTGACTGATTAACTTACGCTTGAAGACTACTAGAATTCACTCTTAAATAAATTTTAAATGACTATCCACTTAGCCAAATAACATTTGTTGAAACTTGACTTTGTGAGGCTCAGGCATTTTAATCTGTGTAACAAGGGACTGCAGAATCACCAGTTGTATAAACCAAAACAAAAGCAAATTCTGCCATTTAATTTCCAACGTCTCAGGCTACTCACTTGATAGGGACCCCAAGTTAAAGATTAATCCTCCTGAACACCAGCTTCCTGGCTTATCATGGGGTCCAGTACCTCTAATGCATGTTTCTTGGGAGTCATCAATCTGCATGGTATATTCCTTATTTTGATTAATCTCAGAACCTTCTCACTGAGATGGACCCAGATTTCTGACTCTTTCACATTCTTCAACTTGAAATTCAGCACCACTGACATTTAGAAAAAGATGGAAACAATCAAAGATGGAAAAAAAATCTTTTGGTTCATTTAAGTCACTCCCAACTGGTTCCAGGATAGGAGAAAAGTGAGTTCCAGGGGCCCCCAAAGGCCACATGTATAAGGGGCCGTGTCCATTTCAATTTCTAACCCCAAACGTGAGATGTTTTCACACCTGACAATATACAAGCTCAACACACCGTACCTCAAAGACGAATTTGCAGGTGACTGATCTCCTGCGAGGTGCGGAGGAGGGCAAGTGTCCCGGCTCTGGTTTGAGAAGGCCACAGACGCAGTCCTGAAGTCTCATGCTGTAGCTCCTTATATAGAGACTGGAAGGGGTTACAGAAATCCTTCAGCCCTTCAAGGTCATTTGAGCCAAATTAGTAGCAGAATCAGATAATATCTTTCCAGGGACATTGTAGCCTTCCCTTGTGGTGAGAGATGGCTCTAAACAAATTCCATCTCCTGCCACCCCACCCTCCCCAGGGTGGACGGGCTTCTGTTCTGGCAGGGTCATGAGCGCTGTGCCTTGGCCCGGACGGGGGAGATGGTTTGGAACATGGACTGGATTACCCATGCGCCTCATTCCTCTGTGACTGTGCAAACCCAGCCTCTGCCCCTTGGTGTGTAAAGAGGACTGGAACGGTGGGATGAGTCTTACTTGGGTGTAATGTTACAGGAAGACTTAGAGGCTTCTTGTTCTTGGGATCCATTAATCCTTGAACAGAATCTGGTGATGACATATCACGGCCTGCTCAGCTGGGAGCAGGAATTGACCCCTGGTGAGTGTTTTCCAATAAAATGCATCCAAGTGAGATCGACTTCTCATTTTAGAGTGGCTCTTATCTCATTATGGAGGAGCACATGTTGTCCTCGGGAAAAACATTTAGAATACTCACTCATCTGGGCCCAGAAATAGCTCCGGTTTTCATCAAATCTTTTGACGAGGCTACTAATTGCAAACCCATTACTTGGTTCAGCGGGTTATAAATTTATAACTTATATTACACATGACAGCCTCGTCTAATATTGATGTTCAGATTTTATCTTGCTGAAGTGGTAATATTTAATGTTGAATCTGTGAAGGTATTTTAATTATCCCATTTACTATAATCTAGATGCCTGATGTAATAGCAGAACCAAATTTACAGATGAGTATTTTTTTTTCCATAAGAAGAAAGAAGAGTTAGTTCTGAAAACTTTTTGCAGTATACCACCTATGTATAAAAAACAATTTAATGAGAAAAATTCAATTAAAAATGTTTCCAAGGAATATATTTAAAACCATAGTGGTGAGTTATATCTATCTACCCATYTATCGATCATATATCTCTATTCATCCGCCTGTTTCTATATCTACATGTCTTTCTGCTTAAGAAAATGTACTGAAACTGCCGGGTGTGGTGGTACACACCTGTAATCCCAGCAGCTGGGGAGATGAGACAGGAGGATCATGAGTTCGAGGCCAGCCTCAGCAATTTAGCAAGGCCCTAAGCAACTTAGGGAGACCCTGCTCAGAATAAAAAATAAAAAAAGAACTGGGGATGTGACTCAGTTGTTAAGTGCCCCTGGGTTCAATTCCCCAGTACCAAAAAAAAAAAAAGAAAAGAAAAGAAAAAAATATAAGTATATAGTAAACCTAATAATGAGAACATAATAGATCAAAGAGACAGCACGATCCATGTTGGGATTTTTCATGTGAAAACAATGAACAGGGAAGGAGTGTTGTGTTGCATGAGCTTAGGATTGGTTAGTTGGACCAATTTGGAGGTCTCTGGGCTATGGGGGTGTCTCTAGCTGTCTGGTACCTGCCCTGGGCAGATTTAGGGGAGGGGTGTGTGAGCTTGACGAAGGAGCAGGTGTGGAGGTGGGCTCAGGGCTGGGTGGTTTGCATACTGAAGCAGGGCTTACAGGGAGTCCTTTGCTGTCCCCAGGGACAGGGCCCCAAATGCTGGAGCCTCAAGACTACGGAAGACAAGAAAGCAGTCACACAGTCTGGGTGACCGAGGGAACCCCCCTGGATAACATCTCCCTGTCCCCTGCTGCTTCCAATGTCCATGGCACGCCAGTGACACCCAAGGCCCAGGGTGTCAGTCCTGCAGCACAGTCTGCTGGGGCCTGGATGCATCTGGTGACCGTGAGTGGGCAGAAGATGGGGGTGGACTCTTGGCTGGGCTGAGCTGGCTCTGGGAGCCTCTGCCCTCTCCTGAGGGCCCCGCACGCACCTTTTCTTCCAGTTCCTCCAGTTTCTCCTGACAGTCATCCTCCCAGGTCGAGTCTCAGGGGACTTATTTTCATTCTCAGCCTCTGCTCTCTGTTGATGGTGGCAGTGGGAGGCACCCGGGTGACAGAGGAGTCTAGGGGCTCTGCCCTGCCTGGCCTGTGACCTTGGGGGAACTTTCATAGGGTGCATGTGTGATTTTTTTGTTGTTGTTGTTCCAGAAAAGAAGTTTTATAGCTTTGCTCAAATCCTTAAAGGGCTCCAAGACTCTAAGAGGTTTATCAACAATAGCAACACCATGGGATATATAGTACCTTCTAAGCACGACTTTACACTTTTTATGAGTATTAACTTTTCTAAAAAAAAATTCTTATCCAACTTTCTGAGGCACAGAAATAACCCTGGCCACACACTGCAGATCAGGGGTCAGCAGCTACAGAGTTCAGGACAAATCTAGCCCACTGCCCTTTTCTAAAAAATTCATTCAGCACTGAATTTCATCATCGTAAAATACTCATAAACATAAAGTTCACCATTTTATCCAATGAAGTATACGTTTCAGTGGCATTCGATGTAGTCACAATCTTGAGTGATCATCACCGCTATCTAATTCTATTGTCCCTAAAGGAAACCTCATGCTCATTAAGCAGTTGATCCCCATTCCTCCTCCCCTTAGTTCCTGGCAATTTTGAATCTGCCATCTGGATATTTCTTATAAATGGAATCTGGCTATTTCTTATCAATGGAATCATAAAATAGGTGCCCTTTTGTTTCTGGATTTATTCATTTAGCAAAATGCTTTGTAAGTTTCATCTATATTGTAACATGTATTAGAACTTCACTCCTTTTTTATGGTGGCATAATATTTCATGGTGTGTATGTAACGACCTTTTATTTATCTGTCAGTTGAGGGACACTTGAAGTGTTTCTATCTTTGGCTATTGTGAATGAAAATTTGTGTACAAGTCTTTGAATGCCTGGCTTTCATTCTAACACTGCCTGTGTTTGTAAATAAGTTCTTTTTCAAATACAGCATGGCCATTCATTTAGACATTAGGCAGAATTTGGTGAAGACTTTACAGAAAAAGTTTGCCAACTCCTGCATGAATCAGTAGTCCAAAAGTCCAAGACCACCGTGTTAAATTGGGGACCTCCTGAGATTACTAGGACCCGCCCCACCTTCCATGGCTCTTCCTGCTCTAGCCCGTGCCTCCCACCAAGGGGCTCCCCACTACAAACTGCGAGGCTGCGGGTTGCCTGGGAGGCCCCCTTGCAAGGGGTTTCAGAAACAGGGATCCTGTTTTTTGTACCAACTTCCTCTACCCCCCACACTCACCGCAGTTCCCCGAGGAGTGGCCTGGAGCGCTTCAGTGCCATCTCAGAACTGCTGGCTTCAGAACCTACAGTGACCCTAATCTGCCAGAAAGACCCCCAGACTCACATGCATTTGGAGGAAGTGGCTCTGATGGCAGGATTAGAGTCTTATTTTAATTGACCCAAAGCAATTTTGATGGCAAATTTTGAACCTTTGGATCTTCTAAATTGTATCATCAGTTTCCATCCGAGTGTAAAATCTTGAATGTGGCTTGAAGTGGCGCCACGGGGACCAAGGCTGCCCGTTCCCTGTGTTGGCTGAGCGATGAGATTAATATCAGCTCACCCCCAAACCTGGGCCACGCTGGGCAGCAGCCCAAGGTAGATTTTTTTGAAGTTTTTATTTCATGTTCTTTTTTATTTGATAAATATTTTATTTTAGAAGCATTTGACCTTTACAGGAAAGTTACAAGGATATTAGGTAATTCCCAGGAACCCCATGATTCCTATTACCGAACATCCTTTATTATTAATTTCTCACTGCAAGATAGAGATTTTGAAAAGTGTATGTGGAGGTTCCCTTATTATTTCTCTAGTATAAAACATGGATGAACCTGGTTTGGGGTTGTATAATATTTATTTCTACAATAGCATTTGCTATGAACGCACATTATTGAGCAAAAGCATCAAGAACACTTCTGGCTGCATTTGCAAGAACAGTAGGTAGTGTATACACATTCATCTCTGTGTACTGGTATGGGGCTGTGATGCGCCTGCACCCAGTTAGCAGAGGCCTGTTATTGGCCCCAGAGACCATGGAATCCGGGAGGGCTCTTCCCTGCCTTCAGTAGGAAAAACAGTTTGTTCTAAGTCCAGCACATGCCATAGAATGGGCTGTGGCTGCACTTTTTCTACATGCTGAGGCACAGATAGCTCCATGTTTGTAGGTGTTTGAGTTAGCTTTTCTGCTGCCGTGACTCACAGACGGACCCGAACAATTTTGGAGAAGGAAAAGTTTATTTGAGGCTCATGGTTTCGGAGGTCTCCATCCATAGACAGCTGGCTCCATTCCAGGTGAGGATGAATGTGATGGAGGAGGAGTGTGGTGGCGGGAAGCACCTCACTGATGGTCAGGCAGCAGAGAGACCCTACTCACCAGATAAAATACATGTCCTGGAAAGCCCCCCCCCCCCGCAAACCCACCTACTCCAGTCAATCAGTGAATCCCCACCAAGGATGAATTCATGGATTGGGTCAAGGGTCTCATTTCTCCTCTGAATGTTCTTGATCTCTTGGGGGACACCTCAAGTCCAAACCATAACAGTAGGCATAGKGGAATGGACTACCAAAGAAAGAACAGCCCATTCAGCTGGGCCCAGTAACGTGTGAGAGGAAGCTTGTGGGACCCCATTTAATGACTGTGCTGAAAACTGTCCTGACTTCCGACCACCCCTCACTTATCTCATTGGTTCCCCAGGCCAGGGAGAGCTGTGGGCACATTGCTATAATGCATCTGAAATACAAATCCCAACCATTCCTTTCCAACTCACTACTGACCCTGATATCAATTTTGATATAGAAATTGTGAAGCTTTGGGGCAYGGTGGCACACATCTGTAATCCCAGCAGCTCGGGAGGCTGAGGATCACAGGTCCTGGGCCAGCTGCATCAATTTAGCAAGGCCCTGAGCAATTTAGTGAGACCCTGTCTCAAAATATAAAATAAAAAGGGTTGGGGATGTGGCTCCG